TTAGAAAACATAATTTGATTTGATCATTAGTTACTATTTTAATTTAAATTGAACATAGGTTAGTTTAAAACTTTATAGTAGATAGTAGTCTCTGTGGAACGATTCAGACATGATAAATTCACTTTATTACTTGTCACGATCCATACACTTACAGAGTTTCACAAACAAGATACGTGCATGCCACCAAAGCGTACCCCTTTGGCCTACGATTGTGATTATACACATAGTTTTGTCCAGTTTGGATAGAACATTGTGTGATATATGCTTGTCCATCTGCCCATCAACTATGAAGCTGCCTAATGCCATGCCTATAAGAAAGAAAAAAGCGTTAAATACGCTTGATTCAATTATTTATTCAATTCATTGTACTCATTAATCACTACTAAACAAAATAAATGTAATTGAAATTAATCTGTACCGGTGGATGGAGATATTGTTCGAACATGATTAACCACTTTGATTAGAACCTGCCCTAGCCAGGATACGAGGTCGAGCAAATTTACCATTTACAGATACCCTACTTTTCATGTGGCATAGCCGCCTCATAATTTTCATATAAATCTATAAAGAATATAAACATAGTTAAGTTGAAAAATAAAAGACATAACCTAAAATTCGCAATTCACGAAACTAAGACAATATATACTTACGTTAAATTTGTAGTGTCTGGTAGTGCCTCCATTTTGAGTACCAATGACCACCTAATATAAGAATTTTTTATTTCAATGGAGCCAGTACAGGTGGCTGCAAGAACTTCTCGAGTGCTGGCATCGCCCTTGGATGAATACCATTACTCATAAGAATTAGCAATGAAACTGGATCCAAGTTGACACTATGGAGATTATTGTACAAATTTTATACTCTTGTTCAAATCCCATAATCTTTGAAGTCTATTCACGGCAGATGTTCAAAAACGCTAGGAATAAAATAATAGTCGTCAATAGATTGAGAGAAACCTTTCATCTGAAAATAGGCTTGATTTGATTGTGACTCCACAACGAAACAAGGCTATAAAATGATTAATTTCCTGTAAAAAAATTCATTAAGCTACTTCAAAAGTTACATTACAAAGAGGTTGCAATAAAAGCAATACAATCCTAGTAAAACAGCTCAAGATCCCCGGCCAACGGTTGTTTCCAGGGTGGAAGGTTGCATAATCATTTGTCCAAAGCTAAAGCTAAAAGTCCCTATGTTTAAGAAATCAAGAATGAATATAAAAACTGAAAAACGAAAAGAGAATGATATTAATAACAAAAAAAACGAAAATCCCAATTAGCATTTGGGAAGATCTGATGGCGGAGGTGGAAGCTTCTGATTCTGGCGCTTTCCATCCAAGACTATCCATGCCATTTTCAGTCCCCAGCTTGTATGGACTTCCAAGTGACAGTGCATGAACCATACACCTATTCATTTATCAAAATTGATGAATTTGTTATCAGTAACTTCGCAAAAATATGGGATGAGATTTAAGTATCATATTGTTGCGTTAAAAAGTGTCAACAAGTTAATGTACATCGTACCTGGATTGTCTGCAAGGAAGCGAATAGCAACCCACCCACCTGATGGAACCCCAACCGTGTTTCTTTCAGCCGGATCAACCAAATTGAACTTGGCTGGATTCGTATTGGGATTGTAGTTGCCAAAGCCCTGACCTACCACGAAGAAATTGAAGCCGTGGAAGTGGAGGGGGTGACTCTTTGCACCAATTATGCTTGTATCCTGCATCACCAACTCAACTTTTATGTTAAATGGAAGCACTGCCAATTTTGTGCCACTTGTCACCATAATGTTGATCGGCGGAGTACCCGTGTAATTGAACTTGAATGGCGGATTGGTAGGAAAATCAGTGGTGTAGACTCCTTTGGATTTATTGAAGAAATGGGCTTGAAGCAGAGCAGTACTGGGCATTACAAATGACACATTGCTAACAGTAGCTGCTAACATTGTGTTATTTGGTCCCTGGCAATTTTGGTTCTGATTAGCGCACGGGCTCAGTCCTAGTCCTATTGTGAAGAAAAAGCGCCTATCAATTGTTTGAGGGACTTTGGCTGGAAATTTCGCGTTGGCTAAGCTCCGAATTTTATTACTGAATTTTGTAGCAAAAGTTGTATCATTGAACAGAGGAAGCAACGGTCTTAATAAGGGAAGATTATTGATTTTCTCGGTTTTGTTTGAAGGGTTATGGTATTCTAGGATTCCAGCAGTGGTGGAATTGTCAAATGAAGCAGGGCCAGTGGCATAAGGCCTAGCAGCCATAAGGAAAGTGGCATTTGGATGGTTTTTTTTGTCTTTAGAAGGACATTAGTTGTCTGTCCAGGAGTGATTAAAACTGTGTTTGTTTTAAATGGTTTAACATAGACTGCATCAGCTTCGACAACAGTGAGGTTGTGGTTAGCAATGCTGAAGAAAAGTTCATCGTTGAGTGCAGCATTTATCAATGTCAAGAGGTATGTTTTCCCTGGCTTCACCTTCAGTTTAAAGGTATCTACATCACAGATAAAAACATCAAGTTTAAGATTTAACCGTGTCACCAGAAATTATGTACCAATATTTCATGTAATTGATGAAACTGCCGCATTTTGCATTACAGCATATTCTTTACCTTTAGCCGAACAATTGTACAAGGGTCCGAGAAGGCCATTAATGGTGTAGGCATCGGAAATGTTTGGTGCTCCTCCAGTTTGCTGTGCTTGACTAATAATCGTCTGAGTATCAGCCTTCCACCATTAACCTATAATCCGAAAACATAGGATTACATCTTCTCAACTAATGTATAGCTATAAATTAACAAGTGATGTTATCTGCCAAAATATTACCAAAAATGATGGGGACTTCTTTGTAGGGTTGAGTAAATGGATAGGGAACTCCTCTTTTTGGAAGTATTACTATTGCTCCATAAACTGTCACTCTAAGCCAGGAAATGTGGGCATGCCAAAATAAGGTCCCTCTTTGGCCAGTTACAGTGAAGTTGTACACATAACTCTGGCCAGTCTGAATTGGACATTGTGTGATATATGCCGGTCCATCAGCCCATCCGCTCCTAAGTTGTCTGATTCCGTGCCTATCATGTACTCGAGCACGTGTTTATTACAAATACTTTAACAACTCAAAATTATATATAATCCAGAGGGAGGTAGTTTAGTATGGTTTCATACTAGTGAATAGAGACATTGTACTAAACATGATTAACCACATTAACTATAACTCTATCACCTTCCCTTGCAGTGATAGTAGGCCCAGGAAGTTGGCCATTAACCGTCACAATGCTCTTTGTTTGGCACAAACTCCTCAAATTTTGCATTTTGATCTGTAACCCCGTATAAGACATTAAACAACTAAAGATTAACATTATGTACACAAACATTTCGTTAATGAACAAGGAAGTTATAAGTAATGCAACTTGGTGCATCAAAGAATTCACTTAAAATGCGATGAAGCACGTACATCAAATTTGTAGCGCCTCGTTATCCCAGCATGTTTGGCTAGTGCTAGCTCTACACTAAGGCACAAAATGGTAAGAACAAAGAGCAAAAGTTTAAGGAAGCTAGAAGCCATTGTGGTTTGATTGTATGATATGCAAATAAGAGAGAATGAAGTTGATTTGATGGGCTAAGAATTTCTTGGAGGGTTCAAAAACAAAGAGCAAGAATTTATATATTAAGTTAATTAGGTATTAGGGAGTTAACATATTGACAAAATGATCTGTTTATGCTGCTGGTCCAACTGTACTTTTGAGTGATTTGCAAGTGAAATTATATGTTAAAAATTAAATGCTGCTACATAACGGTTTCGACAGGGAAATCCTAAATGTCCTTATTTATTTTAACTTTCAAATATGAAATATAAGTACAAATATTTTTTCAAAATGTTTTGTGCAACATGATATAGATGTAGGAGTGTTCTAAATTCAAATATCGCCCTTGCTCATTTTTAAACTTCCACGTATCATGTCTTTAATGAAAAAAATCAAGCTACTACCTAAACTTGTAGTTGAGTTAGTTCAGCACTTCAATATTAAACTTTTAGAAGATGAATTGGAATATGGCGTTGGAATAATCAAATATCTTGGTTTTAAGTCTCACCACCACAATTTACTAAAATTAATTTCACATATCACGCCTTAATAAAAATGTGAATTTTAATTACGATTTACACTTGTTAAAGAAACTATTCAACACTTGAATCGTAAACTTTTAAATGAGGTAGTTCAATATGTTTTATTTACGAAAACTTCATTTGTCGCATATTTGATGAAAAAACAATTCACGAATTGTTTTGTAATAGGTTGAGTATAAACAGAATGGATAAAATGTGTTCATGTTGATGGAAAAGGATTGATGTCCATACTGAGACAATGCATGGTTACCTAGTAGCCTTCGATACCCTATCACCAAACATTTAAGCTAATTAAGGTGTTCATAACCCCCACTTTGTTGGCTGTCGGATTCTAATCTTGGAAATTTTCAAACTACTTTGATGTTTACTTTTATGAAATTATAAATTATTTTAATGAAATGTACACTAGGCACAATCATAGGTCATTGGACCCAAAATGATTAAACCCAAATGAATTAAAAAATGGTGAAAGGTTGACCCTTACAAAATATGAGTACTGAATTGGCTTTTTAATAATGCTATCAACAACTTCTTGATCCTCAAAAGAGAAGTTGAACTGAAGTTGCAAACTACTTCGATTCAGTTCTTGAACGAACCACTTTTTGTCAACATTTCAGCTAGATTATGATTTTCTTGCATCTTCTTAAATATCAAGATTCAATCCTCCAAAATGAATCATGAAGTGATGACAATCATGTATTTACTAAGTAAATAGCAATCCAGAGGCGACGTTGGCAGTGAGTTGTCTTGTCAATCACTTCATCACAAGATCTGTTATGGATCTTCCCATTGCCTCGCCAGAATCAGCTCCTACACGGGCGTTTGTCCAAATGGTCTCGGTTCACTTTCGCTTCATATGAAAGAGGTCGCCTCCCTGCTTATAATAGGGTCGTCTATGTTGCCACGTAAGATAGGGGCCCTAAATTCCGTCCGCCACGTAGGGGATGATCATTTATATGAGTAACAACGGTCCCCGAAGTCCAGGTGTAATTATTTATATAATGCGTGGACTTGCTAGTCTAAGAAAGAAGACTTCATTAATTGAAACTGGTGACGGGATTGAAGGGTATATGACGAGGCTCTGAAAGTAAAGGGTGAGCCTATTCGGTAGTTGAACATTGTGATAAGGCTGAAGAGTGTAGGTGAGGCCATTGGAGAATCTACCGAACCTATTTAAAGCTAAAGCCTATAGTAAGGCTATACAACTTGTTAGGCGAGGCCATTGGAGAATCTACCGATCTTCTTTGAAGCAGGAGCCTATAGTAAGGCTGCACAACTGTTGGGTGAGGCCATTGGGAAATCTACTGACCCTCTTTAAAGCTAGAGCTTATAGTAAGGCTGTACAACTTGTTAGGTGAGGTCATTGGAGAATTTATCGAGCCTCTTTAAAGCTGGAGCCTATAGTAAGGCTGTATAACTTGTTAGGCAAGGCCATTGGAGAATTTATCGAGCCTCTTTAAAGTAGGAGCCTATAGTAAGGCTACATAACTATTAGGCGAGGCCATTAGATGTTACCAGGTGGCATGCCATAATAATTTGAGGGGCGCATTGATTTCCAATGAGGATAGCTGGATGAAGTATTAGATTCCTAAGCTCGAGCTACATGCGCATTTAATGCGCAATGATGATGGTACATTACATCTGGCAGGCCTTACGCAAATTTGTGGGGCGTGTTCAACATGACTCCATTTGGGCCCTTGGTTTGAACTTTGATCAAGCGCCATTTGAAGTTAACGTGGTAGGTAGGATTGCAGGTAGATGGCCTAGATTAAAGTGGAAGAAAATCTAGCGGTGAGGGTTCGTTCATTACGCATATGTAAGGTTGAAAACCTACCTTTTTTTCCCTTTTTCTTCACTTTGCGAAAGTTTCAAACCCTTTATTGCGAAGAGTATTACTGCTTTCCTTAGCATTTTTTCTACTACGTCCGATGATCAACCCCATTCCTTCTCATTTTCTCTGCATTCCAGATCTTGGGCCTTAGATCTTGTATAAGTATTTACCATTATTGAAGCATTTTCTTCACCTACTAAGTTAGATGGCTTCTTCCACAAAAAAGAACGTGTCTGAGGGTCTTTTGGGGTGAACATGGCGTTAATTGGCGCTGATACATGTATTCATCTAGTGATTCCTACCGAAAGGATCATGGAGACGATGTGGGGACCACATAGTGCATAGATGATGCAGTAGGGCCCCATAGATTATAGCATTAGATGGGGGGCTTCCCTGTGGCCGATTGATATAAAAGAGGGTGAGTTAGAGACCTTCCGGGAGAGGTATATGATCCCAAATAATGTAGAAATGTTCGTATCGACCCTAGAAGAGAGGGCCTACTTTCCAGATAGGGGTGTATGGCGGTGAGCGATGCCATTCTAGTCGGAGGGATGAGGCTACCCTTGCACCCCTTCTTCAGATTTATTCTTAGGCAGTATAACTTGGCCCCTACCCAATAGGCACCCAATGCATGGAGCCAACTAAAAGGGGCCTTCCTCATTTGGAAGGAGGTCACCCTTGGTGAGGATATGCCTCCCCATGTTTTTCAAACCCTTTTCCAACCTCGAACCTCGAGTGGAGGGAGCGACTGCAAGGGGTGGTATTGCATGAACCCATGAGGCTCGTATTCTCCCTTTATTTTGGGGACTTCGACCTCTATCAAGAACTAGAAGTCATCTTGGTTTTGGGTTAGGGGTCATTGGCAGATGATGGAGGGAGATGCGGCCCCAGAGATAACTGTGCCGACCCAATATCACGAGTATAGTGAGTTTAGCCCTAGTCATGACAATGTTTTCTTTTATGCCATTGCCTTTGATTCCTCGTATCTGATGTGTGCTTTTATGCAGATTACCAAATGAAACCTCTTCGTTACGCATCATCTGATGGCTACTAAAGGTAAAGAGATTTCTACTCGTTCATCTTTGGTGATTGTACTTTGTTGACATTTGCCTGATAGAGCCTTATTGTGGTTTGTAGGCCAGCACGACAAGAAGAAATATGTTGAGCCTAACATGCTTTTCTTGAGGAGCCTCGACGAGGCGAAGAAGAAACAGCCCATGGGCTTCTCTACTGATGCTTACAAGCGTCAGAGGGACGAATTGACCCGCCTGTATAAGGCGAACCCACCACTCCCTTTGTAGAAAAAATG